ATTGTAGCCACAGCCACCCATAATAATAACTATTATTATTATTACATTACATACATATTGGCCTTAAACTCTGCTGTATCATACTGTTATATTTTAATGGCAATACCACCGGTGTGTTACATGAGCAAAACTCGTACTCATACTTCTTCCATCATGCCAACTTATTCTGGAAAGCTGCACTAATCATTTTCCACTTTATTTTGGAGTCTCTCTCATTTTCTTTGGCTAGTTTAAAACAAATATATATCTGTACAGTGTAATTTTTATATGAATATACCTTCTTGTCTTGTTCTTTCTGCTGCTGTTTTCCTCCTAGGACCAATAAAGCTATTTTTTAAATCTGATTTTATCCATCTTGTATACCGTGATCTGTACTAAACAGACACAGTAAGTGAGACTCTCATTTCAAGAGACACAAAATTGCAAAGAGAATGAAGTTAAATACAAAGTAAACGAGTTAAATTTGCCATACTCCAGTGTAGAGTTGTAAATCTTTGTCTTCATGTTTGCTGGCAGTCGACTCGCTGCACGAAATGCGAGGCCAAGTAACACAAATTTCAAAGTCAAAAAAGTGCTGCAAAGAGATGATAGCAGTCTGCCGGAGCAAACCTATAGGTGCCGTGAATCAATATATCTGATGTGCCCTCGCTTGTCTTCTTGCCTGGAAGGAAGGATAGAGAGACGGAGAGACGGAGGGGAGGGGGCGCTTTTGGCAATGAGGGGGGTTCTCTAATGGAGTCTTTCAGTTTGCTGTGGCTGGAAATGAAAGGAGGTTGAAGCCTGGCCAATTATTCTGCCTGAGAAGAGTAGGAGACTGAAAGAGGAGGGAGAGGAAAGAGATGGCGTGTGGCGCCGTTGCCCTGTTAGAGGATGGGTAGATGGATGGATGGATAGATGGGATAGAAGGATTGATGGAAAACAAAAACAGATGCATGCAAGTATAGAGGGACTTCCAGAACGAGGGATTGATTCAGAATAGCCCACAGCCATTGGCCCCGCTCCCAGAAATTTCCCCCCAGTGCAAAAGGTTAACTGTCAGTCCCCCGCTAGGTATAAATAGAAGTCTGCCCTCCAGAAAGGCGTGTTCAGAGAGGGGGTAGACAGAGGAGGGGAGGGAGGGCAGTTCCTCATGATCCCAGTGACACACAGCAGAGGGGGGTGGTTTCAGGGTTTTTTGGTGGGTTGCAGAGGGTCTTACAGAGAAGAGGAAGGAGAGGGAAGATGCAGCCAAAGACAGTACAAAGGAGGGGACAAAAGAGTGTCCTCATCTATTCAACATTACCGTGACAGCAGACACAACAAATGCCATCATCAGCACCCCAGAAAGCTTCATTCCAATTAAGCTGCAGCTGCATTTGACAACCAAATAAAATCTGCGGGCTAGTGTCTTACTGGAGCTGCAGAGATGTGTAATTAGGCAAGTGTCTAGTAATCAGTTTAATTATGAATGATGGTATCAGGTTCATATCACCACAGGGGAAGCTACAGTGTCTGTTATTTTCAACCAGATAGCATCCGTATGTCACATCATAGCAGTCACAAAGTCCCTCCAGCCCCACACGCGAGTAACACAATAAAATAAAAGAAATCACAAAGACGTTTTTGTCAAGTGTTTTTATTTTTCACTTAAATCCAAAGTAGCAAAAAGGATACACAGCTGAATTATCAGACGCACGCACACACACGGAAACTCTAAAACATTGAGACAGAAGGTGCTTCACCACCTCAAAACATAAAGCTTCCTCTTCAGTTTTAGCACACCTGAATGTACGCAGATTCGACCTGAAGTGATCTGCCACAAAAAAGGATTTAAAAAAATAAATCATGTTTCCTTCAGTAATGTTACTAAATGAGATTTTTTAAACAACAGTTTGACACAATATATTTTTTTATGCTGTCTCTCTGGTTAGAGTCATTGGTATTGACTCTGAAGGCATGTAATCTCTGACAAAAGCATTGTTGTTTACAAAAAAAGAAAAAAAAAAAAAAAACATAAGAAAGAGAGGATATTATTGCTGTTTTGAATGATCCACACTGCATATACTTTAAAGTTACAAATATTTTTTTTAGCCTTTGTCAGAAATAATAAATAAGGAAGAATAATTGGCTCATGTATGGTCTGATTGCACTTAATCCTCTAGACCCCCAAACACTAACGTACTGTAGGTCTAGTATGGTAATAATACCTGTCTGATTACACAAGCAAGCCATTATACACACAAGCAGTAATGTCATTATGTTTTTTACAAGGATACAACTAAACTGTAATAGTGACAAAAGCACTACATTCTATAATACACAGGCAATCACAGATTGCAAATCTTATGTAATAACGTCCCGTCCTCTCCCATTTTAACTGGTGTCTGTTCCCAAACTATCATCTCTAGTTTGAGGATGCTGTTGAAGTCGAAAACATGTACGATCCCACAGTAAAGTGTTTTTCCAAATGGGAATGTAAGGTCCATTCTATAAAAATGCACTGGAAAGGTTTTTTTTAAAACTGCTAGTATACCTGGTACATTCTTTCAAAGCATGCGTCACCTCTATGGTTCATCTCAACTCCCAGTCCCGACTAACGCTTACTTTAAAACAGTCCTCTCTGTCGTTTTACAGCAAAGACAAGCTTGATAACTGATTAAAAATAATACTATTCGCTGGCAAAAACAACTAATTTCCATTCTAAAAAAAATGAAGCAGCTTGAATTTTGTGCTTCAGTGATCTTCACTGTTTGTGAATATATAAAGTTAAATTGGTAGTCAACACTTGGCGCCTTCTTTAATCATGTATTATAATCAAGTGTTAATAAATCAGAAAAATTATTTGCTTTCCTGCTGGGAATAAGATGAGAAAGCAGTTTCGCCAAATATTTCCCAAGACATTGAACTAGTCCTTCGAAAAATGTGAAACACCGTTCATTACCATACATACATTTAGTTTGGGGGCGGCGGTCACTGGATGCTTGGAAATAAATACTTCAATTTGGTTTCATTGGGATTCTACATTGGGAAAAAAAAAAAAAAAGGATCTCTTTGTGCGAGCGAGCATCATTTTGCCCACTAGAGCAACACTTCCCTTTTATGATCACACAAAAATAAAAAAAAGAAAACATCATAGCACCCCCATCATTTCTTTTCTGCCATTTCCAGGATACAATCACGCCCAGGAGCACGCGTCCACTTCATGAAATTAAACCCCTCTCCTGTTCACTTCAAACGAGGACACACACACACACAAAAAAGGCAAGGGCTGTCCGCCTGTGTAGTGTGAAGGAAGCCTTAATGCTAATGGAGCACAACAGAGGCGGGAAGGGGCTGTTTGGCTGCAAAGAGATGCAGAGGACATGGCACGTTTGATGAGGGGCTTTTCTGACCTGCACTTTTGTCATCTGAGCAAAAGATGAGGTCGTGACAAAGAGTCTTTCCTCACATCATTCTTCTCGTTCCTCACAGAACGCATCCATTTTTTCTCGGATGCTCTCGCCCAGTCGTCCACCAATCAGTCCATGTGGGGTTTCTCAACACCACCCTGGAGAAGAAAAACAAGGCCTATGTTAGTTATATATTAATTTGTAATGCAGCAAAAGGTTAATACTTGTATTTGCTCACAGTATAAAGGTAGCATGGTTTGTTGATCTAACTCATAGTCAGGACATGATATTAGAATCAGTTCCCTTTTTCTTTCTGCCCAATGGCAACCTAATATTTTGCAGAATCGGGGGAAGAAAGTACTTCCTTCTCAACATTGGCTTGTTTTGTTACATGCTTAATCACCTTATTTGCTCATGAGCTCCTAAAATAGTTACATTTATCAGCCATTCAGCTTTAAATCACAGCTAATGTGTAATAAAGGGTGTTTTTGTCCATGGTTAATCCAACTAAACAGACTCTATCACTGTCATTTCCAGAAAATAAAACAAAAAAAGGTCTCGTGTGCCTCCTGATTCTTCTCATAAATGACCCACTGAAGCGAGTGAGCGAAAAAACACAGAACAAAACCACGAGTTCAGACTTGTGCCAACATTCCTCAGGCCTCATCACGAAAACAAAAACAACAAGTAGCAAATGACCCTCTGGTCAGCCGAGTCCAGACTGGCTCTGTGTCTCACCACGACTGTGAAAAACAACAGCTCTTAATCTGCTTTCACGCTTTCAGTGAGTCAAACTGAGGCAGTGATGGGGACTGGTACTTTACAGACAGAATGAGGTGAGGCTTCTGGGCAGAAGCTTAATGAAGACATCAAAGCTGACTTGCTGGGATAATTATGAAGGAAGGGGGGCGTCCAATGCTCTTTGCACAGTTTTAAACCATTTGACAATGTTATCTGCTGCCGCGCCTCAGCAGAATAATTGCAAATAAAGCATGTGTGGCGCAGGGGAAGCTTTTGAAGTCAGCTCTTTAGACACAGAGCAGAGGCTGATAACGATAAATGCGGAGGGATATTTTGCGCAAATACGACATACCAAAAACTTTTCAAACCATCAACACAGAATTGCCACTTTATCCTCTAACTTTTAACATGGCCAATTAGAAAAACCTTTTGGATCAAGAGTCATGTGACTGGTTTCCACTGAAACTTGAAGTCTTGGTAGCTCTTTAAAGGAACAGTTCATCTCAAAAGTGAAAATGAACATGTCAGCATCCAACCTTATCACTGCTTACACTGTATGCTGTTTTACACATAAAAGACAATAAAACTCCAAATATGCAAATGCTCCTTTTTTAAAAACCCTTAATTCTGAAATCTGCAAAATTTAGTAAATAAGCGAGAAAACCTAGCTATCTGACTCCAGAATATATACAATGGACTCTACGGACTTTGCTATAGCCCCTAAATATGATGATCACAGGACAGTAAACAGTGGTTTCTTGCAGTGAGTATTGGCCTGTTTCAACTGGTAATATTCCAATAAAGCCAGGTAAGTGTTACCTCGTGAAATCAGCACTTCACACAAACATCAACATATCAGTCTGAACCTTCAGTTAAAGGATGAGAGAGTGATCAAGACTTGCAGACTTTACCATGGCTAGTTGGCGTCCTATGTTACCCACAGTAACACCGCCGGAGAAGAATATGCACGGGAGCCAGGAGCGTACGTACAGGAAGTCTGGAGATGTGTACCTTAAGAGAAAATGAGAAAAGAAGTCACACTTCAGAAAAGAATAAAAGTTAAGAAAGCCATCCCAAGCACAAGTATGAGTTGCAGTTATTACCAAATCATTACCTCCCCTCATCCCTTACCTCCGGTTTCTATTTTGTAAAATCAGGATGATCTGCAGCTGTGTTTTTCTCTCTCTGCTGTACTTTTTTACTTATTATTGTATTGGCTAACACTTCACTGACTTCATTCCATATCCTCATACCAAAGCTGGGTTTACTCTCACAGCTGGATAACCAACACCCACACCAAACACTGTAATTTTAGTCGTGGGTGTAATAAGAAATAAAAGAATGGTGATGACAAATCACTGCATTCGTTTTGTTTCCTCAGAAAAAGATACTCAAGAATGTTTTTGTTCCACTTTTAAAGGCTTTCCTTGAACACCCTGTTGTTGCTGATAGAGAACTTACTGGTAGACTCCATTGTAGACCAGCAGCTGTGTGATCACAGTAGCTAAAAAGGCAGTGGTGATGCCCAGTCCGAAGCCGCTCCTGGACCGGTCGAATGTCCACCACAGACCCAGGGACAAGGCCGCTAGCGTTAAGGAGAGCTGCACGTTGTTGTCGAAGTCTAGTTTCTGTGTTCCAGGAAGTTAAGGACAAAAAAAAAAATCAAACAGCACGAGGATAACATATGATTATTTCTTACGCAAATATTTGGCCACCAACAAGTTGCACCACCTCTTTTTGCAAAAGGATAAAGCAGATTACTGAGCTGATGCAGACAGCAGCCAAACTTGAGTTAATTACTGGTGTACTTTTCCACTCTACTGTAACAAACAATCACAAAAGTAGCAAAAGTGCATTTGAGGACATGGTGAAAGGATACAACACTGGCGTGGTTGATACCGACAAACACAGCGATACACCTCATGACGCTCGCCCACTCCCTCTTGAACTTGTGCGGCTCTCCCAAGTGGCTGTCGAGACAGGGATACAGCAGGCCGATAACAGCTGCAAAAAAACACAAAAAAGGGAACAAACAGTCTTGAATTGTGCCAGATAAGCAGAACTGTGAAAAAAATAGGGCAAACTGTGTCATAGAGACAGACTGCTGAAGGTGCATTTCCACAGTTAGCGACACACCTGCTGTACATGCACTTCAAAAATCCCCACATGAGGAACATGCATAAACATTAGCTTTAATTTTAAAGCTGTATTTTACTTTTTAAGTTTGCGACTTTTTTAATCTAACTCCCTACATACTGTCATTAAAAGTCCAAGAATTTGTGAAGGAAACTATGTAACCACACTATTAGAATGTAAAACGTGGACACAGTGCATATCTTACAAGAAGAGGTGGAGGAGTTACAGGAATTAGTACCTGAGTCACGAGAAAATGAATATGAAACCATTTTGACATTCGATTTGTCACTGGTGCCAGATGCTCTTTAATACCAGCCTCTTAAGTCAGAGGATTTACTTTACCCTTCTAGCTTTTGTTAGTATATTTTTCACCTTATTCAGGCTCCAAGAAGCTTTTATCTGAGAAAATACCTCATTTGACTCCTCATTGACAATCTTTAGCTGCAATCCTACTAAGAATAGCATGCTTAGATGAGGCTGAATCAATTGTCCTGGCGAACTCATAGTTGACAGAAATGAGATCTGTGGCAGTTGCTTGTTGTGGAAACTGAAATATCATCTGTTTCTTGGACTATTTATCAAGCATAAGAAGACAACAAATTTCCCACGTGTGGGTCTAATAAAGGTTATCTCATCTTATCTTACATTTAATGACATCACCTTCAGGTGTGGGAAAGTAAAGAACCATAAGAAGCCTACATCTCTTATTTCTCAGTTTGTTTCTGTCCTGCAGCAAGCAATGACGACAGGAGGAGGAAGAGCCGAGCATTTACACGCTTCTTTCTTTCCCTCACTTCCCTGTTTCTGGCCTTAAAAGTACCTCCCCTCTCAGCTCACCCGTTATGACACCATCCAATGAGCTCGCAGCTCGCCTCGTGTCCGGCTGCTGCAACCAATCAGAGCGCAAGAAAAAGCAACATCCGTTCCAAGCCATTTTTTTCTTTTTGATAACAGCCAGACTTAACGATGCCTTCAAAACTGATAATTAATATGAAACAAAAACAAAACTGAATGGTGATTCATTGTCATCTGATCATACAAATGCTCCCGACAGTGGTGATGAGAAAAGGGATGTGCTTCTGCTGTGTGCGGTTTAAATTTCTGCTGCTTATTATGGCAAAATCCGACCCACAAAGGGGGATTTCCTGACCACAAGAGCCCATTTTATATACACAAGTGGTAAAACACACCACATATTATTTAAAGTGTCGTTTTCTCTTCATAAGGGAAGGCTGTTGTGCTCTAACCCCTCCCCTCTCTGCATTCCTTTGTCCCCAAATTAGCTGCAAACTACTGATCACCCGGGTAAAACTACCCTTGCAGGGTCGTTTATAAAGCACCGAGTAAGCTTGATAAAATCAGCCTGTTATTCACTCACCGGCTCCTGTACCGCAGCAAGGTGGGATCCACCATGCGGACGAAAACAAAGTTGTCATCACCTCCTCGGGGAAGAGGGTAACATTTCTTTGTATCTGGAGCAAGTTGAGCACCAGGGCCAGGAACACTCCGACCGTGAAGAGGACGACACCCCGGCGGATCAGGTTGGCCGTCCGGACATCCTGCAAGGAGATGTAGGCACTGCTGAGCACCGATGTGATGATTGACATCATCTCTTCAGCTCTGGATGCCAACCAGTTTGCGCCAGAAGATGGGTGCTTAGTTTCGGTTTTTGATGAAGTGGAGCAGCTCCAACAATGCTCCTCCAGCCTGGGCATTTGGCACTTTAAAGCTAAAGAAGGAAACGAGACAGTCAACACACGAGTGCCACTGTTTTCACGTTGAAAGAAAAAAAATCGAAGAAATTGTTTTAAAATTGTTCCGGCTGCATACCTTGATCTCCAGACGTCTTCAGAGTCAGCTCCAAGCAGAATCCTCTTCTCCTGTTCATTCGCGCCTCGGCAAGCAGATTTAAGCCAGGATCCCTCCTCCTCGTTTTCCTGCTCTTTTACAACAAGAGAACTGCAGTCACGTTGTTTGTTCACATCATCGTCAGCAAACACACGCAGAGCGAGAGAGAAAAAACACACAGTGCTCCTCCATTCCACCGCACAGACCTCATACCACCGACGAGAGCTTCCTCTGCAGAAAACAATCACAGCTGTGTCGGGTGAGAATCAGCAGCCAATCAGAGCGCGGCGGCTGATATGACGTGACGCCACCCCACCGCCCACTTCGTCCGGGACAGACGCACAAACAGGGAGGCTGGAGAGCAGAAGTGAAAGTGGAAACGCCAAACAACGGCTCTTTTAAAAAAAAGCCTTTATTCTCTATGATAGTTTACAAGAAAGTATAAAAGAAATCTAAGAGACAGAGGAGGCGGTTAAAAACATGTGGAATAAAAGTAGTAACTATGACTAAACTACCACAGTACCACAGCTGTAGCTTTAGCTTTATATTCAACTAGAATATTACTCATTTCATTTTTTAAAGGTAAATGTGCGTTTACCAGGCAGATCTCAAGCTCCACCTCGCTTAGGTGTTGAATTATTCACTGATATTCTCTATACAAACCCTGCTTTTCTTCGTTTGTAACTAAACAAACAGCAGTCCTCTGCACCCTTATATATAAAGCCTTTGGGAAATGGGGTCAGTGGCACAGTTCGTTTGTTTTAAAAAAACAAACAAACCGGTAAACTTTGGGTCACTTTTGAGGAGGTGTGGCTTGGAAGGAGGCTTGGGAAGGCGTGTAGTGCCAGCGCACGTCTGTTAGAGATAACATGTATTCTGAAAGGTTCAATACCCCGATCACATGTAGACTTTTGGGGCTCGTTCGACAACAACGCGAAAAAGTGTTTTGCAAGAATCTGCGTTATCCAGTCGGTCGTGAGTAGGTCAGTGCAATAACAAACGACCTCCTGCTCGATACGTGCAGCAGGACACATGCAACTACCGGAGCACATTTTGCTTCTGCGCCCGAGGAAAACCTCACTTCGCACGTGGATGAAAATCTACTCCCGTGCAAGCTTTCTCACTTGTTGTGTTTCCAAAAAAAGATAAATCAAACGTTTTCAGTTCTTTTCATTTGTAAAAGCCCCACAAAAAACCTGAGTCACATTTACTTAATAATATCAGCTTCTGGCACTTAGAAAGCAATACCATGGATGAATCATTTCTTTATGCAAATAAGACTTGGAAAAAGTGAGTTGATGCCTCATGACCTGGAGCAAATGTGGTAAACAAAAACAGAGACCGTATCAGTGTGACAGCATTTCATTTCAATTAGGTTTAATTAAATGTATTTTTTGGGGGGTGTAATTAACAGTGCTCTTGATATTTTGGGGGTATTATATTAATCGTGTGTGTGTGTTTTTGGCACATTTGTGGTGTTCAAATGTAGAGAGTTTGGCACTAAATCAGGGTGCAGTGTTGGTTTTCACCCAGTGTTCAGCTTCAAAGCTTCCAACCAGCTGCCGAATTTATCTCTTCTTAGTTATGGCTGATTTGATGTGCAGTGTGGAGAAAAACAATGTACGATTTATCAGGAGTATTTGTGGAAATAACTGTATTTATAATAACAATAATAATAATAATGGACATGGTAACACTGTGGGCACACCAAGGACTTTTTAGTTTTGCTAGTGGTTTTGGCTCTAGGGTTTGGTTGCTTCACCACTTCGGCTGCATGGCCATGACATTTGGTGAACACAATCAGAGTCTTCAGGGGTCAAATCATAATGAGTCTATTGATTCTCTGACTTTTATTCTAGCACCACAAACAGATTAAAGGCAGCAGTTATCCTGTTAAATATGTATCAACATCTACTTGTTGGATTCACACTATTTTTTGTAGTTATGTTATTGGTCCCCCAGAATCTCAGTATTATTACTCAGTTAAATACACCGCCCAGTGAAAAAAACAAAAGGCACCGCTTGCATTTAACTAACCAGAATTTATGCAGGGATCAATATGATTCAGCTGGCTGTTTAACTATAACTGAAGCAGTGAGAAGCTTCTCATTAAGAACTGTCCAGGTTTTAACTGTATTGTTAAAACCTGGAAGGTTATTGATGAACCGGCACCTTTGAGGAAGAAATGGTATTGGATAAAAATCCTGAGTGATCGTGACTGGATTTCACTTAAACATCTGGTCAAATTAAATAAAAACAGCAACAATAAACCTCATGGCCATGTTAAAAGTGATAGTAAGAGCATTTTCTCACAAACACACACACACTAAGAAAAGAACTGAAGGGATTGGGGTGTGTAGCTGTACAGCTGTGCAGCCTTAAGAAATCCACTGACGCTAATTGAAGAAATTGGTCTGATTAGTCCAGACTTTACCCTGTTCCAAAGTTATGGGGACATTAGGGTAAGAAGAGAGGCGGATTCAGTGATGCCACTGAATCCGCCTACCTTAAAGCCTGAGTAGTCAGTGTTATGATCTGGGGTTGCTTCAATCGGTCATTTCTAGGCTCAGACCTTTACCCCACAGAATCTCTGGGATGTGCTGGAGAAGACGTTACCCAGCAGTCTGATTTTGCTTACCAAAACAATCCCAGGTCGAATACATGCCTTCATTAAAAGCTAAAGGTAGTCCAACGAAATTATAGAGTGCCTGACTTTTTGTTGTCTAAGCAGTGTACTTTAGAACATCGTGGATGGAAAACCTCAGTGATTCCCTTTGAGCAAGCACTTGGAAACTCCTTTAACCAGAGGAATCCTGTTAACTCCTGCACGGTCTGAGAAAAAAGAACATATAAAATCTTTTTCACCTTCCTTTTTTTTATTTAAGGAACATTTTGAAATTGTGATCTACAGTCATGTATTTGTGTCATTGCACCGAGGTTATTGTAATACCCTGTTTATTGGCTCATCTCTTCTCTTTTACACCTCCAAGCAATACAAAATGCTCCAGTGAGCAAGCTCACACTACTCCAATTTTCTTCTCTTTACATTTACATTGATTTTCAATCACGTTTTTAAAATTCTCACACTTGAAGCACTAAACAGACATGCTCCAGACTATATTATATATCAGCTTCTTGTTAAATGCAAAGCTGTTTGCTATCTTCTCTCACAAGCTCAAAATCTATCAGTTTTCCCTCATACTGAAGACCATAGGAGAACAGAGCCTCTAGTCTGTGCATCAAGGCAATGAAACAATTTAATGCTTCACCCCTTGTTAGCAGATTCGGTAGAATCCTTTTAAAGAAAACAGTTGAAAACCTTTCTGCTTTATCACGCCTTCTGTTGAGATTCTTTTAGTATTTATACTTTTATCGATTTCTGCTAGGTATTTATTGCTTTGCACAGATAAAAAGCGCTATATAAATACATTTTGCTTGCTTTTTTATTCTATTTTAGCACGGTTCTCTATTGATATTAATTGTTGTATAGTAAGTGTGACTTTTTGTGAAAAGCACTTTGTAAATAAAGTTTATTTTACTTTAAATTTATAGCGAGATAACAAACAGCACAGCCTATAGACTGCAGAATGTGTTGTGAGCAAAAGAGAAGAAAGGAGAGGTCTGCATTGTGTCACAGCTTGAGCCTGTAGCTCATATATAACTAAAGGATGGCTCAGGGTCACATGATCCAGCTCCAAATAAAAACATCATCAAAAAGAGGTTTTTAGACGAGTCTTAAAGTAGTTGGATGCTTCTCTTCTGAACCCAAAATGGGAGTAGGGTCAAATATGCTCCCATTTTACTCTTGGATGCTTCTCTTCTGAACCCAAACTGGGAGTAGGGTCAAATATGCTCCCATTTTACTCTTGCGAACATAATCAAGAAAAACAAGGAAACTACACTCTAAAGTGCTCTATTGGCATCATACAGTTCTATGAGGTCTTTAAAGGATGACTGAGGTTTGATGATTTGAGGTTTGATGATTACGGGCTTTGAAGGATTTAAAAGTCTATCTGGGTTTTTCAGGGAGCAAATAACAAGGCAATCTTTCTTTGTAGTCCTTTACAGTACTTGCAGTGTTTTGGATTTTAATGAACCTCGTACACCAGATTTCTATTACTTCTTTTAGTGTTATAATTAATTGTAAACTAGATGGATTTCTGCAAATATATAGACATTCACGTGCCCATCAGGATAAATTATAATAACTCTGATGGTTCCCCTGCAGCAGCAAGTACAACCTCCTAAATGATGAGTATGATTGTACGGCACATAAAGTGATGGCAAATGTAGTGGAGAAATTTCTTACTCTGTGCCGTCACCATGTTATTGCACAATTTAAAAAATAAATCGGGCTTTTCATTCGATCTAGAACAGCCTGAGAATGAGTCTTTAAATAATACTATTAACTATGTATTATTAGATGTTAAAGTCCAGACTGCACATTCAAAGTGATTGGCTCTAAAAACGCCTTCACTGGGTAGAATGAGAAAAAAAATGGGTCTGATAACTGAATGGGTAAATATATATGTCACAGCTGCACTTTCTGAGAATTGTTTATATTATAAAGCCATGCGTGAAAGTAAATTGAGGGTTAAAAGGTTTGTCTCCCTGGTTTTATTTCTGAGTATTTAGAGCAATGTCGATACATGCAGTAGGCTTGGACAAATACTGCATGTCATGATAAGAAGTGTCAAAGAAGAACTCTTTTCACCGCTTTCTTAAAAGACACTTAGACATCATTTCACAGATCCTCACTCATTCCTCTCCCTAAACACACTTTTGCTGTCCTAGAATGACATTCAGAGACTTTTCACTTGCCTGCTGTCCGTAGATAATGTCATCAGTCATATTTACTACACCCTAAATTCAGTGCTCCATGTGGTTAATGCAGATAAATCGCCCGAGCCTCACAGTTTCATAAAAGGGTGGGGGTGGGGAGGTCAAAAAGAGAAGGGTGCACCTACGGGGAGCTCCCCAAGGCCCCAAACTAACACCACCCCAGTAATCCAACAATAGTATTCTTCTCTGCCTCAGGACAAAAGGTTGTCTCAGGGAAGGAGTATGTGTATATTCCCCAAATGAATAAGTTTCTTTCTGTGTAATTCTTAGCTATCCAGGTGCCTGAGGATAAAAGCCTACAGCAGTGAGTGTGTGGGGGTGTGAGTGTGTAAATCAGTGCCTTTGCCTGAGCGTGCATGTGTTACATATGTGTTAATCTAGTAGAAATAAAACGTGTAGTGTCAGATACGTGCGACCTGAGATGACTGTGACACAAGGAAACACGTTACATTTCTTAATGAAGACGGGAAGCTAATTTTTTTCAGTGAGTAATAGAGAGATGCTGTGGGATTTTAGATAGCGCTTCATGCTTCCTCTGACAGTAACATGTGCATTAATTTGAAGGCTGGAATCACGAGTCCTATGTTAGCTAATGCAGGGCCATAACAACCGTGAAAATGACTCGGCATATAGCAAATAGCTCCTAGCAACCAACAGTGTTGGCGCTGGTGTAGAGGAGGTCTCCGCCACATCAGAAGATAAAGCAGGATGCCACGACACTTCAAATGAATAGCAGATCAAGCGTGTCATAGATTATGCCGTTAGACTGGGAGGGATTTTATTATAGCAAAAGGAGAGGGCTGCTGGAACAGCTGGCAAATTGATCTATCAA